AGTTCCAGACTCCCCTGAGAGTGGGACAGCGGGAGTCAGGCCCAAAGTTGCACAGGTCGCCTGTAGGAGTGCTGGTTGGTGGTCCACTCAGCAGCACAGCTGGTGCATGGAGATAGGTCTGCAGACAGGAGGCGCCTGTGCGAGGTATGCAAGCCTCTCTGGGATTTAGATGTTTACTAGATAGACGGTTCAAGCCAAGATCAGGTACCAGGTGGGAATCAGAGCAGACGTAGTCAGATGGGATAGCCGAGGTCATACACAGAGGAGCGGGAGAGAGAGAGTATCCGTAAGTCAGGCCGAGGTCAGATCAGGGGTAAAGAAGAGTAGACAGGTCCAGGAGCAAGCCGAGTCGGTAACAGGAAGTCACAGGAACCAGGAACAGGGCACGGGGAGCTAGAGATCTTCCAGCAACTTGAGGAAGTGATGAGCCTTCTTATAAAGGCCGTCTGGCACCAAACTGAGGCTGATGTGTCCTTCTGCGGCCATGCAGAGTACTGGCAGAAATGCCAGATCTTCCAGAACTTCTGCCGTGGACAGGACCATGACACTGTCCCACCAAAGACCATTGCCATTGTCCCAGGAGACAATTATCACAAGATGCAGAAACGCTTTTCCACGCCGGCTATCCAGTGGCTGATGTACGTAGAGCGGACAGAGAACATTACCATACAACACGCTTTAGGGTCAAGAAAAGAAAGTCGGGAAGTTTTTTCTGGATGGCTATGCTCTTGTTGATGGCTGGGACACAGCATTTGAGTTTCTAGGTTGTTATTACCATGGATGTCCTCATTGCTAGGATAGGGATGATCCCGTGCGTTCACCCAATCCACATACAGCCAACGGTACCAACGACTTCGGGCTAAAAAAGCCTTCCTAGAAAGAGACCAATACGTGGTCCGTATGCTGTGGGAACATGAATGGAAGAAGATGTTGAAAGAAGATAAGCATCTCCAGGAATTCCTTCTCGAAATGAAGTTCCCATGGACCCCCGTGACGCTCTTTATGGTGGAAGAACGAATGCCATCAAGCTCTATCACAAAGCTGAGGAAGGTGAGACCATAAATTACTACGATTTCACAAGTCTTTATCCCTTCGTCAATAAGACCAAAACCTACCCCAAGGGACACCCCAAAATCATCTATGAAAACTTTCACCCCATTCAGGAATATTTTGGTATCTTGAAAGTCTATCCGCCAAAGGGATTTTTTCCGGTCTCGCCGGTCAAACTGAACAAGCTGCTGTTTCCTCTTTGTAACACATGTGCTTCAGATTCCCAGACGGAGCCTTGCACCCACAGCCATGAAGAGCGTTCTCTGACCGGGACGTGGTGCGTGGTGGAGCTGCAGTTGGCGGTAGAGAAGGGATACAAGATCACCCAAATCTACGAAGTCTGGCATTTCTCCGACACCACAAATGACCTCTTCACACCTTACAATACACAACATCTCCAGTGCAAACAGGAGGCTTCGGGATATCCCAGCTGGTGTACGGATGATGCCAAGAAGAAGCCATATATTGACTCCTCCTACAAAAGGGAGGGCGTTCAGCTACGTCCTGAGCACATTACGGTGAATCCAACCAAGAGACGAATCTCCAAACTCTTCCTCAACTCCTTGTGGGGAAAATTTGGGCAGAGATCCAACTTAACACACACCAGCATTGTCACCGACCCTGAAGAACTTTTCAGGCTCATGTTCTCTCCCCGCTTTGAGCTTTCTGAGGTGAATGTCATAGATGACGAGTTGTCAACTGGAAATACGCCGAAGGCCACCACAAGGCCAACAAAAACACCAACATCTTCCTAGCCTGTTTTACCACGGCTCATGCCAGACTGGAGCTGTACCAGCCGCTGGATGGGCTGCAGGAAAGGTGCTTCTATCACGACACACGATTCCATCATCTTTGTGAGTAAGAAGGGGGACTGGAACCCTCCACTTGGGGATCACCTGGGGGAGCTGACCAACGAAATTCCAGATGGAAAACATATCACCGAGTTTGCATCGGCCGGGCCCAAAACCTACGGCTACAAACTGAACACCGGGGAGGCAGTCCTGAAGGTTAAGGGCATCACTCTCAATGTGGCCAACAAGCAAGTCATTAACTTTGAGAGCCTGAAGGACCTGGTGCTGGATTACCCTCAAAATTCGTATCCTCAGACGCAGAGATCGATAGGCGTGGAGCAGTCCGGTATTGTCAGAAATAGGAAACGTTGGTAGATTGAGACACAAAGGTGCGTGTACACCAAGAGGCAGCTCGCCCTCAACTTCACCACCTTGCCTTTCGGATATTAAAGGGCCACCATTGGTCACATTAGCCTGATAACATTGTATGCCGGTGATCTGTCCTTTCCTGATATGGGGGGGAGGGGATTGGTCCTCCAACGCCCGATGATGATGAATCCCTCTCATTGGACAGAGAGATCTGTACTGAATCATTATCTGTATGTACAAAATGGACCAAGAAACCTTTGTAACTGAAGGCTTCCATCGTCAACCAACCGCGTACAACGTATATTATACCGAGACGTCACCATAAATATCTCCCTGTGAAATCGCTACAAATGACGGCAAAGATACTTCACACCACATTAGATCGATGGAACCTCTACATGGCCCCCGCACTTAGATGGCATTGTACCCTCAACCCTGGAACTGTCCTCAGCCTTTATAACATGGAGGAACCCTTGAAGGGACTATCAAGTCTGATGGAACCCCTACATTGGGGTCAGCGGGAAGAATGTCCCGTACATTGGGGGTCGGTGGGAAGAATGTCCCTTACTTTGGGGTCAGTGGGAAGAATGTCCCTCACATTGGGGGTCAGTGGGAAGAATGTCCCTTACATTGGGGGGGTCAGTGGGAAGAATGTCCCTTACATTGGGGGTCAGTGGGAAGAATGTCCCTTACATTGGGGATCAGTGGGAAGAATGTCCCTTACATTGGTGGTCGTGTGGAAAGAATGTCCCTTACATTGGGGGTCAGTGGGAAGAATGTCCCTTACATTGGGGGTCAGTGGGAAGAACGTCCCTTACATTGGGGGTCAGTGGGAAGAATGTCCCTTACATTGGTGGTCGGTGGAAGAATGTCCCCTACATTGGGGGTCAGTGAGAAGAATGTCCCTTACATTGGTGGTCAGTGGGAAGAATGTCCCTTACATTGGTGGTCAGTGGGAAGAATGTCCCTTACATTGGGGGGTCAGTGGGAAGAATGTCCCTTACATTGGGGGTCAGTGGGAAAGAATGTCCCTTACATTGGGGGGTCAGTGGGAAGAATGTCCCTTACATTGGTGGTCAGTGGGAAGAATGTCCCTTACATTGGTGATCAGTGGGAAGAATGTCCCTTACATTGGGGGTCAGTGGGAAGAATGTCCCTTACATTGGGGTCAGTGGGGAAGAATGTCCCTTACATTGGGGGGTCAGTGGGAAGAATGTCCCTTACATTGGGGTCAGTGGGAAGAATGTCCCTTACATTGGGGGGTCAGTGGGAAGAATGTCCCTTACATTGGGGGTCGGTGGGAAGAATGTCCCTTACATTGGTGATCAGTGGGAAGAATGTCCCTTACATTGGGGGGTCAGTGGGAAGAATGTCCCTTACATTGGTGATCAGTGGGAAGAATGTCCCTTACATTGGGGGTCAGTGGGAAGAATGTCCCTTACATTGGGGGTCAGTGGGAAGAATGTCCCTTACATTGGGGATCAGTGGGAAGAATGTCCCTTACATTGGGGATCAGTGGGAAGAATGTCCCTCACATTGGTGATCAGTGGGAAGAATTTCCCTTACATTGGGGGTCAGTGGGAAGAATGTCCCTTACATTGGGGGTCAGTGGGAAGAATGTCCCTTACATTGGGGGTCAGTGGGAAGAATGTCCCTTACATTGGGGATCAGTGGGAAGAATGTCCCTTACATTGGGGATCAGTGGAAGAATGTCCCTCACATTGGTGATCAGTGGAAGAATTTCCCTTACATTGGGGGTCAGTGGGAAGAATGTCCCTTACATTGGGGGGTCAGTGGGAAGAATGTCCCTTACATTGGGGGTCAGTGGGAAGAATTTCCCTTACATTGGAGGTCAGTGGGAAGAATGTCCCTTACATTGGGGATCAGTGGGAAGAATGTCCCTCACATTGGTGATCAGTGGGAAGAATTTCCCTTACATTGGGGTCAGTGGGAAGAATGTCCCTTACATTGGGGGTCAGTGGGAAGAATGTCCCTTACATTGGGGGTCAGTGGGAAGAATGTCCCTCACATTGGTGATCAGTGGGAAGAATTTCCCTTACATTGGGGGTCAGTGGGAAGAATGGTCCCTTACATTGGGGATCAGTGGGAAGAACGTCCCTTACATTGGGGGTCAGTGGGAAGATTGTCCCTCACATTGGTGATCAGTGGGAAGAATTTCCCTTACATTGGGGGTCAGTGGGAAGAATGTCCCTTACATTGGGGGTCAGTGGGAAGAATGTCCCTTACATTGGGGGTCAGTGGGAAGAATTTCCCTTACATTGGGGGTCAGTGGAAGAATGTCCTTACATTGGTGGTCAGTTGGAAGAATGTCCCTTACATTGGGGGTCAGTGGGAAGAACGTCCCTTACATTGGGGTCAGTGGGAAGAACGTTCCTTACATTGGGGGTCAGGGGGAAGAATGTCCCTTACATTGGGGGTCAGGGGGAAGAATGTCCCTTACATTGGGGGTCAGTGGGAAGAATGTCCCTTACATTGGGGGTCAGTGGGAAGAATGTCCCTTACATTGGGGGTCAGGGGGAAGAATGTCCCTTACATTGGGGGTCAGTGGGAAGAATGTCCCTTACACTGGGGGTCAGTGGAAGAATGTCCCTTACATTGGGGGTCAGGGGGAAGAATGTCCCTTACATTGGTGGTCAGTGGGAAGAATGTCCCTTACATTGGGGGTCAGGGGGAAGAATGTCCCTTACATTGGGGGTCAGGGGGAAGAATGTCCCTTACATTGGTGGTCAGTGGAAAGAATGTCCCTTACATTGGGGGTCAGTGGGAAGAATGTCCCTTACATTGGAGGTCAGTGGGAAGAATGTCCCTTACATTGGGGGGGTCAGTGGGAAGAATGTCCCTTACATTGGGGGTCAGTGGGAAGAATGTCCCTTACATTGGGGGGGTCAGTGGGAAGAATGTCCCTTACATTGGGGGTCAGTGGAAGAATGTCCCTTATATTGGGGGTCAGTGGGAAGAATGTCCCTTACATTGGGGGGGGGTCAGTGGGAAGAATGTCCCTTACATTGGGGGTCAGTGGGAAGAATGTCCCTTACATTGGGGTCAGTGGGTGGAATGTCCCTTACATTGGGGGTCAGTGGGTGGAATGTCCCTTACATTGGGGGTCAGTGGGTGGAATGTCCCTTACATTGGGGTCAGTGGGAAGAATGTCCCTTACATTGGGGGTCAGTGGGAAGAATGTCCCTTACATTGGGGGTCAGTGGGAAGAATGTCCCTTACATTGGGGGTCAGTGGGAAGAATGTCCCTTACATTGGGGGGTCAGTGGGAAGAATGTCCCTTACATTGGGGTCAGTGGGAAGAATGTCCCTTACATTGGGGATCAGTGGGAAGAATGTCCCTTACATTGGGGATCAGTGGGAAGAATGTCCCTTACATTGGTGGTCAGTGGGAAGAATGTCCCTTACATTGGGGGGTCAGTGGGAGGTACGCCCCTTACATTGGGGGTCAGTGGGAAGAATGTCCCTTACATTGGTGGTCAGTTGGAAGAATGTCCCTTACATTGGGGGTCAGTGGGAAGAACGTCCCTTACATTGGGGTCAGTGGGAAGAACGTTCCTTACATTGGGGGTCAGGGGGAAGAATGTCCCTTACATTGGGGGTCAGGGGGAAGAATGTCCCTTACATTGGGGGTCAGTGGGAAGAATGTCCCTTACATTGGGGGTCAGTGGGAAGAATGTCCCCCTACATTGGGGGTCAGTGGGAAGAATGTCCCTTACATTGGGGATCAGTGGGAAGAATGTCCCTTACATTGGGGATCAGTGGGAAGAATGTCCCTTACATTGGTGGTCAGTGGGAAGAATGTCCCTTACATTGGGGGGTCAGTGGGAGGTACGCCCCTTACATTGGGGGTCAGTGGGAAGAATGTCCCTTACATTGGTGGTCAGTTGGAAGAATGTCCCTTACATTGGGGGTCAGTGGGAAGAACGTCCCTTACATTGGGGTCAGTGGGAAGAACGTTCCTTACATTGGGGGTCAGGGGGAAGAATGTCCCTTACATTGGGGGTCAGGGGGAAGAATGTCCCTTACATTGGGGGTCAGTGGGAAGAATGTCCCTTACATTGGGGGTCAGTGGGAAGAATGTCCCTTACATTTGGTGATCAGTGGGAAGAATGTCCCTTACATTGGGGGTCATGGGAAGAATGTCCCTTACATTGGGGGTCAGGGGGAAGAATGTCCCTTACATTGGGGGTCAGGGGGAAGAATGTCCCTTACATTGGGGGTCAGTGGGAGAATGGCCCTTACATTGGGGGTCAGTGGGAAGAATGTCCCTTACATTGGGGGTCAGGGGGAAGAATGTCCCTTACATTGGGGGTCAGGGGGAAGAATGTCCCTTACATTGGGGGTCAGGGGGAAGAATGTCCCTTACATTGGGGGTCAGTGGGAAGAATGGCCCTTACATTGGGGGTCAGTGGGAAGAATGGCCCTTACATTGGGGTCAGTGGGAAGAATGTCCCTTACATTGGGGGTCAGGGGAAGAATGTCCCTTACATTGGGGTCAGTGGGAAGAATGTCCCTTACATTGGGGATCAGTGGGAAGAATGTCCCTTACATTGGGGATCAGTGGGAAGAATGTCCCTTACATTGGGGGTCAGTGGGAAGAATGTCCTTACATTGGGGGTCAGTGGGAAGAATGTCCCTTACATTGGGGGATCAGTGGGAAGAATGTCCCTTACATTGGGGGTCAGTGGGAAGAATGTCCCTTACATTGGGGGTCAGTGGGAAGAATGTCCCTTACATTGGGGGTCAGTGGGAAGAATGTCCCTTTCATTGGGGGTCAGTGGGAAGAATGTCCCTTACATTGGGGGTCAGTGGGAAGAATGTCCCTTACATTGGGGGTCAGTGGGAAGAACGCCCCTTACATTGGGGGTCAGTGGGAAGAATGTCCCCTTTAATTGGTGGTCAGTGGGAAGAATGTCCCTTACATTGGGGGTCAGTGGGAAGAATGTCCCTTACATTGGGGATCAGTGGGAAGAATGTCCCTTACATTGGGGGTCAGTGGGAAGAATGTCCCTTACATTGGGGGTCAGGGGGAAGAATGTCCCTTACATTGGGGGTCAGGGGGAAGAATGTCCCTTACATTGGGGGTCAGTGGGAAGAATGGCCCTTACATTGGGGGTCAGTGGGAAGAATGTCCCTTACATTGGGGGTCAGTGGGAGAATGTCCCTTACATTGGGGATCAGTGGGAAGAATGTCCCTTACATTGGGGTCAGTGGGAAGAATGTCCTTACATTGGGGGGTCAGTGGGAAGAATGTCCCTTACATTGGGGGTCAGTGGGAAGAATGTCCCTTACATTGGGGGTCAGTGGGAAGAATGTCCCTTACATTGGGGGTCAGTGGGAAGAATGTCCCTTACATTGGGGGTCAGTGGGAAGAATGTCCCTTACATTGGGGATCAGTGGGAAGAATGTCCTTACATTGGGGGTCAGTGGGAAGAATGTCCCTTACATTGGGGGTCAGTGGGAAGAACGTCCCTTACATTGGGGATCAGTGGGAAGAACGTCCCTTACATTGGGGATCAGTGGGAAGAACGTCCCTTACATTGGGGGTCAGTGGGAAGAACGTCCCTTACATTGGGGGTCAGTGGGAAGAATGTCCCTTACATTGGGGGTCAGTGGGAAGAATGTCCCTTACATTGGGGGTCAGTGGGAAGAATGTCCCTTACATTGGGGGTCAGTGGGAAGAATGTCCCTTACATTGGGGGTCAGTGGGAAGAATGTCCCTTACATTGGGGGTCAGGGGAAGAATGTCCCTTACATTGGGGTCAGGGGGAAGAATGTCCCTTACATTGGGGGTCAGTGGGAAGAATGTCCCTTACATTGGGGGTCAGTGGGAGGAATGTCCCTTACATTGGGGGTCAGTGGGAGGAATGTCCCTTACATTGGGGATCAGTGGGAAGAATGTCCCTTACATTGGGGGTCAGGGGGAAGAATGTCCCTTACATTGGGGGTCAGTTGGAAGAATGTCCCTTACATTGGGGATCAGTGGGAAGAATGTCCCTTACATTGGGGATCAGTGGGAAGAATGTCCCTTACATTGGGGGTCAGTGGGAAGAATGTCCCTTACATTGGGGGTCAGTGGGAAGAATGTCCCTTACATTGGGGGATCAGTGGGAAGAATGTCCCTTACATTGGGGGTCAGTGGGAAGAATGTCCCTTACATTGGGGGTCAGTGGGAAGAATGTCCCTTACATTGGGGGTCAGTGGGAAGAATGTCCCTTTCATTGGGGGTCAGTGGGAAGAATGTCCCTTACATTGGGGGTCAGTGGGAAGAATGTCCCTTACATTGGGGGTCAGTGGGAAGAACGCCCCTTACATTGGGGGTCAGTGGGAAGAATGTCCCTTTAATTGGTGGTCAGTGGGAAGAATGTCCCTTACATTGGGGGTCAGTGGGAAGAATGTCCCTTACATTGGGGATCAGTGGGAAGAATGTCCCTTACATTGGGGGTCAGTGGGAAGAACGTCCCTTACATTGGGGGTCAGTGGGAAGAATGTCCCTTACATTGGGGGTCAGTGGGAAGAATGTCCCTTACATTGGGGGTCAGTGGGAAGAATGTCCCTTACATTGGGGGTCAGTGGGAAGAACGTTCCTTACATTGGGGGTCAGTGGGAAGAATGTCCCTTACATTGGGGGTCAGTGGGAAGAATGTCCCTTACATTGGGGGTCAGTGGGAAGAACGTTCCTTACATTGGGGGTCAGTGGCTACTTATCTGGAAGGTAAAACATGCTCAAGGAACCCAGCAACCTCTAGAGGAACCTCAGGCTTCCATGGAACCCGGGTGGAGAACGGCTGCACTAGAAGAACAAATCATAAGGAGGCATGGGGGTTTATTTACTATCCCTGCAGCCCTCAGAATCTGGTGCACCTGGACACGGCAGCCAATCAGCTGGTTCAGTTAAGCTTTAGCAATAAAACCTGGAAGCCGATTGGTTTCTATGGAGAAGTTCACGAGATTCTGAGTGAACCAACTTTCGTGAATAAACCCCATGGAGTCCAAGGTTGGAGCTTCTCATGGTGAAATGGGCATCTGAAGCCAGCATGTGGTGGTACTAATTGGCCCTTGGATGGTGGAATGATCCTCGGAATGAGGTAATCCAGAGCAGACCCAATGTGGCTTCTTCATCTTTGTTGTTCATATTGTCTTCCAATGTAATCACCGAGGATCAGCCCTACACAGCCAGACGGGGGATTGAATGGTCTTTCCTTCATCTCTAGATAGTACTCCAGAAAAAGCAGAACATCCTGCTAAATACCAGAAATGCAACAACAATCCTTCATGTATGACCTCCACCAATCCCACCCCACCTCCAGCATTCGGGGATGACCCGCGTGGCTTTCATAGTGGGGACACATGTACTTCATCTTTGAAGTTTTTCCAAGAAAAAGATCCAAGTGGTTTACCACGTTACCAAGGCTCCACCCTGGACTCCTGGTTGTCCTCCTATGATCTCTCCTCCGAGGTTCCAATGATCTGTGTGTGTGTGGTGGTAGGAAACGTCTGCTCTAGTCTTCCATGGTGGTGAGGTAGCTATGAATAAGGTCTTTGTATAATATCCGTACGTTGGAGGACCATACAAGCCCTCAGGTACAATGGATTCTGGGTAGATGTATGATTCAGAAGTTGGTCTCCATTAACATTCCTGGCAATTGTGGTTTGGAGATAATTGGAGGGGGGGGGGGGGGAAATCACACGTATACCTTTATATACACTTTGTAATCCGAGTCGCATCAAGTCGATGACACTCCTGGGATATGGATCTGGTCAGGGAAGGGGGGGTTGTTCAGCTGCTTTGGTGTTCATGAAATCACCAACAGGTGCACTAGATGGGCAGCAATGAGACGACCCCCAAAACAGGAATGATTTTACAGGTGGAGGCCACTGACATTGTTTTCCCTCCTCATCTTTTCTGACTGTTTTTCTCTCGTTCTGCATTTGGCTCGGGTCACTGCTGGTAGGATGAGGCCATACCTGGACCCTACAGAGGTCACACAGGCAGTCCAACTCCTCCAGGATGGCCCATCAATACCTGCCATTGCCAGAAGGTTTGCTGTGTCTCCCAGGACAGTCTCAAGAGCATGGAGGAGATTCCAAGGGAGAGATTCCGGGAGACGAGCATGCGGAGACGAGATTCCGGGAGACGAGAGCACGGAGGAGATTCCAGGGAGACGAGAGATTCCGGGAGACGAGAGCGACGGAGGAGATTTCCGGGAGACGAGAGCACGGAGGAGATTCCAGGAGACGAGAGCACGGAGGAGATTCCAGGAGACGAGGAGCACGGGGGAGGAGCACGATTCCACGGAGGAGGAGACGACGAGCAGATTCCAAGGACAAGAACATGAGGAGATTCCGGGAGACAAGAACATGGAGAGGTTTCGGGAGACAAGGCAGGAGATTCCAGGAGACAAGAGCACAGAGTAGGTTCCAGGAGACGAGAGCACGGAGGAGATTCCGGGGAGACGAGAGCACGGAGGAGATTCCAGGGAGACGAGAGCACGGAGGAGATTCCAGGAGACGAGAGCACGGAGGGGATTCCGGGAGACGAGAGCACGGAGGAGATTCCGGGAGACAAGAGCACGGAGGAGATTCCAGGGAGACACGAGAGGAGATTCACAAGGAGGGAGGAGATTCCGGGAGACAAGAACATGGAGGAGGTTTCGGGAGGAGAGAAGGTTCCAGGAGACAAGAGCACAGAGTAGGTTCCAGGAGACAGAGCACGGAGGAGATTCCAGGAGACGAGAGCACGGAGGAGATTCCAGGAGAGACACGAGGAGATTCCAGCCAAGAGACAAGAACATGGAGGAGATTCCGGGAGACAAGAGCAGGAGAGGTTCCAGGAGACGAGAGCAACGGAGGAGATTCCAAGAGGAGATTCCGGGAGACAAGAGCACGGAGGAGGTTCCAGGAGACCGGAGGAGATTCCAGAGACAAGAGACAAGGAGGAGATTCACGGAGGAGATTCCAGGAGACGAGAGCACGGAGGAGATTCCAGGAGACGAGAGCACGGAGGAGATTCAGGAGGAGGTTCCAGGAGACAAGAGCATAGAGGAGATTCCGGGAGACAAGAGCACAGAGTAGATTTCCAGGAGAGGAGGTTCCAGGAGACGAGAGCACGGAGGAGGTTCCAGGAGACGGAGCACGGAGGAGATTTCCAGGAGACGAGAGCACGGAGGAGATTCCAGGAGACGAGAGCACGGAGGAGCACGGAGGAGATTCCAGGGAGACGAGAGCAGACGAGAGGAGATTCCAGGAGACAAGAGCGAGGAGCCAGGAGACGAGAGCATAGAGGAGATTCCAGGAGACGAGAGCACGGAGGAGGTTCCAGGAGACAAGAGCATAGAGGAGATTCCGGGAGACAAGAGCACGGAGGAGATTCCAGGAGACAGGCAGTTCCTCTAGGAGAGACGGACAGGGCCTTAGAAGGTCCTTCACCCATCAGCAGGACCGGTATCTGCTCCTTTGTGGAGGAAGAACAGGATGAGCACCGCCAGAGTCCTACAAAATGACCTCCAACAGGCCACTGGTGGGAATATCTCTGACCAATCAGAAACAGACTTCATGAGTGTCATGGATCCCCCAGAAGCCACGCCCATAGCGCCTAGCTAACCGAGGAGCGCACGTGCGGCTGTGGGGTACGAGGGGATAAAGGGGACTCAACTTTGTATATATAAACCGTATATAAGATCAGCCGTGATATCCTTCCACAGCCGCACTACCTCTGCCCACCACTGGGGGGAGACTCCACTCCAATCCAGAGGGCCGACCACACACTGGCAGATACAAATCTTACATACAATCTGGTGCACTGATTAGAGTTGAGGAGCAGCTTAGCAATCACACCCTTCTAGGGCCCCTCCAGCTATCCTACAGTTTGAACCCCGATGTTATCACCCTTCCACTGTCCACACCCCCACACCAGACACACCCCCCCCCCACCAGACACACCCCCCCCCACACCCACACACCCCCCCCCCCCCTCCAGACACCCCTCCCCCACACCAGACACACCACAAAAGGTAGCCTGTGACCACCCAACAGTTTATCCGCAGAACGGTCTGCTGGGACACCCCACACACACAGATCTCCGTCTGGCCGATCTGTTACCTTTTACAATCTGCATGCAATCTGCCCACACACAGTGCAATTGCATACAGATTGGCAATGAGCTGACCGAGTGTATAAAGGCACTAAAATACGATACAATCTAATCCCTCCGGAGATATGAGCCCGAGCTTTAAAACACAGAAGTCACTTATTAATTTTATGATGTCATTTCCCGGAAGTGGGCGGAGCATAAAATATGTACAAAGTATAAAAAGTGACAGAAATACGAGAAGACACACAAATGACTTCACTATAAAATAAAAGGGAATAAAACGTTTTACCGAGATCTATCCTGCGACTGGAGCCAGTCAGAGCGTCCGCAATCCGTCAGTCAATCGAATCGGCTCCATACGGATCACCATGTCCCAATGCCCAGGTACTCCATTTCTTGGGATATGGAGGTAGGCGGGACATTAGTCCTCGGCCAATTGACCCTGGGGGGTGGTCCTGTACCCGCCCACAGGATGTTCTGGGTGCTGACCGGCCCAAGTTCAATCGGACCAAGACCGGCTTGAATCACCAAGTCGGGGATTGGATTTCTGACACCAGCACATCAGTCTGATCGGGACAGTACCAATCACTGCTCAGCTATCGCACTCCAGCACCACCTAACCATTTCCTGCATTTTCCTGGCCTTCTACCTAAGTCACAAATATAGTTTTTATATGTCGGTGTAACCCACAGAGTGTCCCATCAGAAGGAAGTATTTTCATCTCTCTGCAACTAATATTTTAGCTTTTATGAGGGAGGAAACATTTCCTTTGATCTATGGATGTACTTTAGAGCCCCCCAGACAGATCGGGGCCCCCCTGGTGTCATGAAGCCGAAACGTCTGCGTTCCTCTTTTCAGCTTCAGGAAGATGGCCGAGTCTGATTATGTATACAGTGCAGGAAATGTGTATTTGCCCCCCCGATGCTGAATGTTCGCCCCTCACACAGAAACGATCGGTCTAACAATGGAATGTTCGCCCCTCACACAGAAATGATCGGTCTAACAATGGAATGTTCGCCCTCACACAGAAATGATCGGTCTAACAATGGAATGTTCGCCCCTCACACAGAAATGATCGGTCTAACAATGGAATGTTCGCCCCCTCACACAGAGAAACGATCGGTCTAACAATGGAATGTTCGCCCCTCACACAGAAATGATCGGTCTAACAATGGAATGTTCGCCCCTCACACAGAAACGATCGGTCTAACAATGGAATGTTCGCCCCTCACACAGAAATGATCGGTCTAACAATGGAATGTTCCCCCTCACACAGAAATGATCGGTCTAACAATGGAATGTTCGGTGTAACACTGAGAGACAGAATACAACAAATAAATTCAGCAGAAATGCGTCTAACAAATGATGACGGATCTGCATGTTCATGAGGGAAAGAAGGATTTGATCCCCTATCATTCAGCAGGATTTCTGGCTCCCAGGTGTCTCTCATACAGGTAACAAGCTGAGATTAGAAGCAGCCTCTTAAAGGGAGTGCTGCTAATCTCATTGTGTCCTGTATAAAAGACACCTGTCCACAGGAGCCATCAAACCATCAGATTCCAAACTCTCCACCATGGCAAAGACCAAAGAGCTGTCCAAGGATGTCAGGGACAAGATGGTAGACCTACACAAGGCTGGACTGGGCTACCAAACTATGGCCAAGCAGCTTGGTGAGAAGGTGACAACAGTTGGTGCAATCATTCACAAATGGAAGAAACACAAAACAAGTGTCAGTCTCCCTAGGTCTGGTGCACCATGCAAGATCTCACCTCGTGGAGTGTCAATGATCATGAGAACAGTGAGGAATCATCCCAGAACTACACGTGAGGATCTTGTCAATGATCTCCAGGCAGCTGGGACCACAGTCACCAAGAAAACAATTGGTAACACACTACGCCGACAAGGACTGAAATCCTGCAGTGCCCGCACGGTCCCTCTGCTCAAGAAAGCCCATGTCCAGGCCCGTCTGAAGTCTGCCACTGAACATCTGAATGATGCCGAGGAGGACTGGTGGGAAGTGTTGTGGTCAGAGGAGACCAAAATCCAGCTCTTTGGCATCAACTCAACTCGCCGTGTTTGGAGGAGGAGGAATGCTTCCTATGACCCCAAGAACACCATCCCAACTGTGAAACATGGTGGTGGAAACATTCTGCTTTGGGGGTGTTTTTCTGCTAAGGGGACAGGACAACTGCACCGCATCAAAGGGACGATGGGCGGGGCAATGTACCCTCAAATCTTGGGTGAGAACCTTCTTCCCTCAGCCAGGGCATTGAAAATGGGTGGTGGATGGGTGTTCCAGCATGACAATGACCCAAAACACACGGCCAAGGCAACAAAGGAGCGGCTCAAGAAGAAGCACATTAAGGTCCTGGAGTTCACTGTATGCATTTTCCGCCCCCCATTCCATCTACACCAGAATAATGTACATGGAGGATGAATATCGCCCACCCAGGGAGGAGCGCGGCGTTGTTACACACAGGGAGGGGGCGCCGTCCTCTGTAGGCGATGATGGAACATTTTATGGACTTTCCACGTGTCATGTGATGATGGAAATCCCCGATTATCTGACATTGGATCTCAGCATCTGCAACCCCCCCCCCCCCCCGGGGAATACCCCAGAGGGGAGGGACAGCTGAGGGGAGACGCTCTGCAGAACACAGACAGGAGGAAATGTGCTGCATTGGAGGGATAAAGAGTCACTCTGCTCACAACTGACATCTCTTCTGTCTCACAGGGACTGTCATAGTGGCATCTCCAGACATGAGGGGTTCCCACCATCCCTGTACACCCACCCACACACCCATTATCAGGGTTTCCCACCATCTCTGCACCCATTATGAAGGGTTCCCAGCATCCCTGTGCCCATTATGAGGGGTTCCCACCATCCTTGTGCCCATTATGAGGGGTTCCCACCATCCTTGTGCCCATTATGAAGAGTTCCCGCCATCCTTGTGCCCACTATGAGGGGTTCCCACCATCCCTTCACCCATTATGAGGGGTTCCCACCATTCCTGTGCCCATTATGAGGGGTTCCCACCATCCCTTCACCCATTATGAGGGGTTCCCACCATTCCTGTGCCCAGTATGAGGGGTTCCCACCATTCCTTCACCCATTATGAAGAGTTCCCACCATCCCTGTGCCCATTATGAGGGGTTCCCACCATCCTTTTGCCCATTATGAAGAGTTCCCACCATCCTTGTGCCCATTATGAGGGGTTTCCACCATCCCTGTACACCCACAGCACCCATTATCAGGGTTTCCCACCATCTCTGCACCCATTATGAAGGGTTTCCAGCATCCCTGTGTCCATTATGAGGGGTTCCCAGCATCCCTGTGCCCATTATGAGGGTTCCCCACCATCCTTGTGCCCATTATGAGGGGTTCCCACCATCCTTGTGCCCATTATGAGGGTTTCCCACCATCCTTGTGCCCACTATGAGGGGTTCCCACCATCCCTTCACCCATTATGAAGGGGTTCCCACCATCCCTGTGCCCATTATGAAGAGTTCCCACCATCCTTGTGCCCATTATGAGGGGTTCCGTGCCCCATTATGAGGGGTTCCGACTATCTCTGTGCCCATTGTGAGCGGTTCCCACCATCCCTTCACCCATTATGAAGAGTTCCCACCATCCTTGTGCCCATTATGAGGGGTTCCCACCATCCTTGTGCCCATTATGAGGGGTTCCCACCATCCCTGTGTAATTGCAGCCTCCACTGAGGCTCACTGAAAGGAGTGGAGTGATAGTCTCACCAGTACCGGACCCGAAGCCCCCCGGGACCCCCCGGGACCCCTCACCTCCAGCACGATCTCGGTCAGGTGGGTCTGTCTCTGCGCCGTTCGGTCTCCGGGTGCCGGACTCTCCCAGATCAGCAGGCAGAACACGTCGTATTTCTTCATCACGGGGCGGTAATTGCGCTCGGCCAGCTCCAGGACGCGGTCCTTGCCGTCATAGGAGGGGAAGTGGAGGCCATCCTCAGCCCCAATCAGGGTGAGAAGAGCCCCCAGGACCAGGAGGGTGAACGTCTGCATGGAGGAGGGCGGCTGGGGAATGACTGAGGGTCCGGCAGGCTGACCACCTTACATAGCCCCCCCGCACCCCCCCCCCCCCCCCTGCACATTCCCCCCCCCCCCACAGACCCCGCACTCCATTTTTAGGACACAGTTGTTTCAGAGCTATAAATAGGCAGCTGGTGGGGGGAGGGGAGTCCAGGAGGTGACGGGTCCTCTTCATACGTACCGACCCGCTTCTGTCCTGAAGATTCTGATCCGTCCCACCAGATGAGCGTCAGATGTGATACAAATACAATGTATTGGCCAAAGTATTCCCCCTCCAGATCATGTGATTCAGGTTCCAATCCCTCCAATCATGTGATTCAGGGGTCCCAATCCCCTCCATATCATGTGATTCAGGTGTCCCAATCCCCTCCATATCATGTGATTCAGGTGTCCCAATCCCCTCCATATCATGTGATTCAGGTGTTCCAATCCCCTCCAAATCATGTGATTCAGGTGTTCCAATCCCCTCCATATCATGTGATTCAGGTGTTCCAATCCCTCCATATCATGTGATTCAGGTGTTCCAATCCCCTCCATATCATGTGATTCAGGTGTTCCAATCCCCTCCCAATCATGTGATTCAGGTGTTCCAATCCCCTCCATATCATGTGATTCAGGTTCCAATCCCCTCCCAATCATGTGATTCAGGTGTCCCAATCCCCTCCATATCATGTGATTCAGGTGTTCCAATCCCCTCCATATCATGTGATTCAGGTGTTCCAATCCCCTCCATATCATGTGATTCAGGTGTTCCCAATCCCCTCCATATCATGTGATTCAGGTGTTCCAATCCCCTCCACATCATGTGATTCAGGTGTTCCAATCCCCTCCATATCATGTGATTCAGGTGTTCCAATCCCCTCCAATCATGTGATTCAGGTGTTCCAATCCCCTCCACATCATGTGATTCAGGTGTTCCAATCCCCTCCATATCATGTGATTCAGGTGTTCCAATCCCCTCCATATCATGTGATTCAGGTGTTCCAATCCCCTCCATATCATGTGATTCAGGTGTTCCAATCCCCTCATGTGATTCAGGTGTTCCAATCCCCTCCATGTCATGAATTCAGGTGTTCCAATCCCCTCCATATCATGTGATTCAGGTGCTCCAATCCCCTCCATATCATGTGATTCAGGTGTTCCAATCCCCTCCATGGACACAGGTGTATACAATCAAGCCCCTAGGCATGCAGACTGCTTCTACAAACATTGGTGAAAGAATGGGTCGCTCTCAGGAGCTCAGTGACTCCAAGCGTGGTCCCGTGATAGGTGGCCACCTGGGCAATAAGTCCATCCGTGACATTTCCTGGCTACTAAATATTCCACGCTCAACTGTTAGTGGGATTATAACAAAGTGGAAGCCACTGGGAACAACAGCCACTCAGCCACCAAGTGGTAGGCCACGTCACATGACAGGGCGGGGTCAGCGCATGCTGAAGTGCACAGTGCGCAGAAGTCACCAACTGTCTGCAGAGTCAATAGCTAAAGACCTCCAAACTTGGTGTGGCCTTCAGATGAGCCCAACAACAGTGCGTAGAGAGCTTCATGGAATGGGTTTCCATGGCCGAGCAGCTGCATCCAAGCCTTCCATCACCAAGTGCAATGCAAAGCGTCGGATGCCGTGGTGTAAAGCACGCCGCCACTGGACTCTAGAGCAGCTGCATCCAAGCCTTCCATCACCAAGTGCAATGCAAAGCGTCAGATGCCGTGGTGTAAAGCATGCCGCCACTGCACTCTAGAGCAGAGGAGACGTGTTCTCTGGAGTGACCAATCACACTTCTCTGTCTGGCAATCCAATGGATGTGTCTGGGTTTGGCGGTTGCCAGGAGAACGATACTTGCCTGACTGCATTGTGCCAAGTGTAAAGTTTGGTGGAGGGAGGATTATGGTGAGGGGTTGTTTTTCAGGGGTTGGGCTTGGCCCCCTAGTTCCAGTGAAGGGAACTCTTAAGGTGACATTTTGGACAATTTCATGCCCTCAACTTTGTGGGAGGAGTTTGGGGATGGCCCCTTCCTGTTCCAACATGACTGCCCACCAGTGCACAAAGCAAGGTCCATAAAGACATGGAGGAGCCAGTTTGGGGTGGAGGAACTTGACTGTCCTGCACAGAGTCCTGACCTCAACCCCATAGAACACCTTTGGGATGAATTAGAGCGGAGACTGCGAGCCAGGCCTCCTCCCCCGACATCAGTGCCCCTCCCCCGACATCAGTGCCCCTCCCCCGACATCAGTGCCTGACCTGACAAATGTGCTTCTGGAAGATGGTCCAACCTTCCCATAGACACCCTCCTAAACCTTGTGGACGGCCTTCCCAGAAGAGGCAAAGGGCGGAGCCAACTCAATATTGAACCCTACGGACTAAGACTGGGGGGCCATTAAAGGTCATGTGCATGGAAAGGGCGGGGCCAACTCAATACTGAACCCTACGGACTAAGACTGGGGGCCATTAAAGGTCAGGTGCGTGGAAAGGGCGGGGCCAACTCAATATTGAACCCCACGGACTAAGACTGGGGGGCCATTAAAGGTCATGTGTGTGGAAAGGGCGGGGCCAACTCAATATTGAACCCTACGGACTAAGACTGGGGGGCCATTAAAGGTCATGTGCGTGGAAAGGGCGGGGCCAACTCAATATTGAACCCTACGGACGAAGACTGGGGGGGCCATTAAAGGTCATGTGGGGGGAAGGGCGGGGCCAACTCAATATTGAACCATACGGGCTAAGACTGGGGGGCCATTAAAGGTCATGTGTGTGGGAAGGGCGGGGCCAACTCAATATTGAACCCTACGGACTAAGACTGGGGGGCCATTAAAGGTCATGTGCGTGGGAAGGGCGGGGCCAACTCAATATTGAACCCTACGGACTAAGACTGGGGGGCCATTAAAGGTCATGTGGGGGGAAAGGGCGGGGCCAACTCAATATTGAACCATACGGGCTAAGACTGGGGGGCCATTAAAGGTCATGTGCGTGGGAAGGGCGGGGCCAACTCAATATTGAACCCTACGGACTAAGACTGGGGGGCCATTACAGGTCATGTGCGTGGGAAGGGCAGGGCCAACTCAATATTGAACCCTACAGGACTAAGACTGGGGGGCCATTAAAGGTCATGTGCGTGGAAAGGGCGGGGCCAACTCAATATTGAACCCTACGGACTAAGACTGGGGGGCCATTAAATGTCATGTGCGTGGAAAGGGCGGGGCCAACTCAATACTGAACCCTATGGACTAAGACGGGGGGGGCATTAAAGGTCATGTGTGTGGGAAGGCCGGGGCCCAATACTTGGGGTAATATAGTGTATAATATACATCCAACACGTTCTGCCTTACCAGACTCAGGGCGCCCTCTTCTGGCTCTCTGGAGATGGTTAAGTTCAGGTCCTCAGACAGGGATAGGAGTTGCTGTGATTCCTCCCCTTCAAGCCCACTGAGACAATCCCTCTTTTCCTTCCTCACAAGTGGTAGCAGTGCTCTCCAGTACAGTCTGATCTCACCAGGCGTCCATATCACCCCTCACACCCTCCCAGGAAGAAGGTCCTCAGTGTCTTTGTTTCTCACCCAATTGTGGTCAGCTATGGCAGGGATCTGTTCAGCCAGCAGAGGCAGCAGATAGTCTTCTCCCTTTTCCTCAGCCTGCAGACCCACTTCTCCTTGCTTTGATGCATCAGCCAATTACCACCAGGCTTGATCCAGACCCAGCCAAGATGGCTGCCCCCTGCACTGGGGACACTTCATAGACGAGCAATGGATAGTGGTCTCTAATGAGTGGCCGGTGTTTTTTGGAGGACCTTGGCCAATGAGAGGCGAGGAGGAAGGACTGCTCACCAGGATCTCCAGTGGTGCCATCTCCCCATTACTGACTTAGCAGTCCTTGTTCTATACTGTGTCTCTATGTGGAGGCCGCCATCTTGGTACAGGCAGGGCCTTGGCTCCTCATATCAGAGCTGCCCCCTCCTCTGGTGACTGGAGGGCTAATGATGGAGGTAAAGGAAGCTCAGATCCACACAATGGATCATCTGATCACCTCGGGGTCCCACCTCAACCCTTCAAACCCGACACATATTCCTACAAAGGTTCTGTGGCTGACTAAGGTGGCAACTAAACTCACTTTGTGCCCAATCTGTGTCACGTCACCCGAGAACCCGTGTAATGATGTGTGTTCGGGTTCAAAGGGATGAGGTGGGAACCCTACATCACATAGACTGGACCCAATACTGGACTCTGAATACATGGACTGGACCCAATACTGGACTCTGGGAACATGGACTGGACCCAATACTGGACTCTGAATACATAGACTGGACCCAATACTGGACTCTGAATACATGGACTGGACCCCAATACTGGACTCTGAGCACATGGACTGGACCCAATACTGGACTCTGAATACATAGACTGGACCCAATACTGGACTCTGGATACATGGACTGGACCCAATAATAGACTCTGAATACATGGACTGGACTCAATACTGGACTCTGGGAACATGGACTGGACCCAATACTGGTCTCTGAATACATGGACTGGGCCCAATACTGGACTCTGGATACATGGACTGGACTCCATACTGGACTCTGAATACATGGACTGGACCCAATAATAGACTCTGAATACATGGACTGGACTCCATACTGGACTCTGAATACATGGACTGGACCCAATACTGGACTCTGAATACATGGACTGGACTCCATACTGGACTCTGAATACATGGACTGGACCCAATAATAGACTCTGAATACATGGACTGGACTCAATACTGGACTCTGGGAACATGGACTGGACCCAATACTGGTCTCTGAATACATGGACTGGACCCAATACTGGACTCTGAATACATGGACTGGACCCAATACTGGTCTCTGAATACATGGACTGGACCCAATACTGGACTCTGAATACATGGACTGGACCCCGTATCGGCGGTCTCATGACACACGGACCGGACCCCGTATCGGCAGTCTCTCATGACACACAGACTGGACCCCGTATCGGCGGTCTCATGACACACGGACCGGACCCCGTATCGGCGGTCTCTCATGACACACGGACTGGACCCCATATCGGCGGTCTCTCATGACACACGGACTGGACCCCATATCGGCGGTCTCATGACACACGAACTGGACCACGTATCGGCGGTCTCATGACACACAGACTGGACCCCGTATCGGCGGTCTCATGACACACGGACTGGACCCCGTATCGGCGGTCTCATGACACACGGACTGGACCCCGTATCGGCGGTCTCATGACACACGGACTGGACCCCGTATCGGCGGTCTCATGACACACGGGCTGGACCCCGTATCGGCGGTCTCATGACACACGGCTGGACCCTGTATCGGCGGTCTCATGACACACGGCTGGACCCTGTATCGGCGGTCTCATGACACACAGACTGGACCCCGTATCGGCGGTCTCATGACACACGGACTGGACCCCGTATCAACAGTCTCATGACACACGGACTGGACCCCATATCGGCGGTCTCATGACACACGGGCTGGACCCCGTATCGGCGGTCTCATGACACACGGACTGGACCCCGTATCGGCGGTCTCATGACACACGGACTGGACCCCGTATCGGCGGTCTCATGACACACGGGCTGGACCCCGTATCGGCGGTCTCATGACACACGGACTGGACCCCGTATCGGCGGTCTCATGACACATGGACTGGACCCCGTATCGACGGTCTCATGACACACGGCTGGACCCCGTATCGGCGGTCTCATGACACACGGGCTGGACCCCGTATCGGCGGTCTCATGACACACGGGACTGGACCCCGTATCGGCGGTCTCATGACACACGGACTGGACCCCGTATCGGCGGTCTCATGACACACGGGCTGGACCCCGTATCGGCAGTCTCATGACACACGGACTGGACCCCGTATCGGCGGTCTCATGACACACGGACTGGACCCCGTATCGGCGGTCTCATGACACACGGACTGGACCCCGTATCGGCGGTCTCATGACACACGGACTGGACCCCGTATCGGCGGTCTCATGACACACGGACTGGACCCCGTATCGGCAGTCTCATGACACACGGGCTGGACCCCATATCGGCGGTCTCATGACACACGGCTGGACCCTGTATCGGCGGTCTCATGACACACGGACTGGACCCCGTATCGGCGGTCTCATGACACACGGACTGGACCCCGTATCGGCGGTCTCATGACACACGGACTGGACCCCGTATCGGCAGTCTCATGACACACGGACTGGACCCCGTATCGGCGGTCTCATGACACACGGACTGGACCCCGTATCGGCGGTCTCATGACACACGGACTGGACCCCGTATCGGCGGTCTCATGACACACGGACACATGATTGGTGGTTTGATAGAAGAGTTTATTGCGGTGATTGGACGATATCGGGTCATAAGAAACGAGACGGAACCACTAGAACGGATCACATGATACGCAGAAAGTCACAAACCCGGAGATCTTTGGATTGGTTCTGATCACTGACCTCCATGTGAAGCCCCGCCCCCTACACACAGACCCCTGCATCGGCCGCCCAGAACGACCAATCAGATCATTGGCTTTGTCGGAAGATGGAACCCGATGAGGGATCAGGTGACAGTCGCTCCAGTTTTCCTCCCCTGGGGTCACAGTTCACGGACTAGAGAGAGGAGGCGGGACCATACCACATGGTTGTCAGAGACTGGCTCCTCCCACAAAAATTAGGAGAACCCCCATATCTAAGCAAAATAACAAATCCCCTCCCCCGCCCCCCCCAGGCTGCATGTGGAATGATCTCCCCCCTCCAGACAAGATCTGCAGTTACAGGACTCCACCTGATGGTGAAGTCTGGTATTGCAGAGCGACCACAGAATACAAAGAGAGGGAACTCATCTATTTCCCTGACAAAGTCAGGGGCAGCGGGATGGGGGCTCTATGTGCTTTTGGAGATAGGGGCCCCCTAGGTAGACATCAGGGACCCCAATCTAAATAGGCATTATTTGTGAGTGCTTATCCACTTCCAGAGCAGACTTCAATGTGATTGGCTGGTGTAGGACAATACAGACAGTTCTGGGAGATATATACTTCTCCAGGCTGGATAGACTGCAGTCCCCATAATCCTGCAGGGTGGATGGGGCACAGTGACCACACTTCTCCAGGCTGGATAGACTGCAGTCCCCATAATCCTGCAGGGTGGATGGGGCGCAGTGACCACACTTCTCCAGCCTGGATAGACTGCAGTCCCCATAATCCTGCAGGGTGGATGGGGCGCAGTGACCACACTTCTCCAGCCTGGATAGACTGCAGTCCCCATGGATAGACTGCATCCTGCAGGGTGGATGGGGCACAGTGACCACACTTCTCCAGGCTGGATAGACTGCAGTCCCCATAATCCTGCAGGGTGGATGGGGCGCAGTGACCACACTTCTCCAGCCTGGATAGACTGCAGTCCCCATAATCCTGCAGGGTGGATGGGGCGCAGTGACCACACTTCTCCAGGCTGGATAGACTGCAGTCCCCATAATCCTGCAGGCTGGATGGACTGGGGCACATCCCCACACTTCTCCAGGCTGATAGACTGCAGTCCCCATAATCCTGCAGGGTGGATGGGGCGCAGTGACCACACTTCTCCAGCCTGGATAGACTGCAGTCCCCATAATCCGGCAGGCTGGATAGACTGCAGTCCCCATAATCCTGCAGGGTGGATAGGGCTGCAGTCCACACTAATCCAGGCAGGGTGGATAGACTGCAGTCCCCATAATCCTGCAGTCCCCATCAGGGTGGATAGACTGCAGTCCCCATAATCCTGCAGGGTGGATTCCTCTAGAAGGGGTGGTGGTCACCCCTCCCCATCCCAGCCCAGGCCGGGCTGGCATTGGCCCCATAATCCGGCAGGCACAAGGCAAGGGGTTGGTCACCCCTCCCCCATCCCAGCTCCGGGGCATGGCAATATTTCACATTTTCTATAATCCCTGGCCCCTCCCCCTTCCTGCAGGGGGGGGGGGATGGGTATGCCATAGTCCCACCATAGTATGACCTCCAAATAGCTCCACCTACAGCCGGAGGCAGATAGGACACAGCCATTGTGTATTGGAGGGGCCCAGTGAGCCTGACATATATACGGGGCCCCATATTGTGCTTCTGTTCTGGTGACACCAGGCACTGAACTGGAACAAGTCACCCCCCCCCCCAGTGCATGATGGGAGGGGGGGATGGGTATGCAGAAATCTCTCTCTACAGGCAGAGGAGGGCGCCGAGCGCCAGTCAGGAGGGGAGATATCGCGGGATCACAGTCAGAGATCAGTCACAGGGAGATATCGGGGGATCACAGTCAGAGATCAGTCACAGGGAGATATCGGGGGATCACAGTCAGAGATCAGTCACAGGGAGATATCGCGGGATCACAGTCAGAGATCAGTCACAGGGAGATATCGCGGGATCACAGTCAGAGATCAGTCACAGGGAGATATCGCGGGATCACAGTCAGAGATCAGTCACAGGGAGATATCGCGGGATCACAGTCAGAGATCAGTCACAGGGAGATATCGCGGGATCACAGTCAGAGATCAGTCACAGGGAGATATCGCGGGATCACAGTCAGAGATCAGTCACAGGGAGATATCGCGGGATCACAGTCAGAGATCAGTCACAGGGAGATATCGGGGATCACAGTCAGAGATCAGTCACAGGGAGATATCGCGGGATCACAGTCAGAGATCAGTCACAGGGAGATATCGAGGGATCACAGTCAGAGATCAGTCACAGGGAGATATCGCGGGGATCACAGTCAGAGATCAGTCACAGGGAGATATCGCGGGATCACAGTCAGAGATCAGTCACAGGGAGATATCGCGGGATCACAGTCAGAGATCAGTCACAGGGAGATATCGGGGGATCACAGTCAGAGATCAGTCACAGGGAGATATTGGGGGATCACAGTCAGAGATCAGTCACAGGGAGATATCGCGGGATCACAGTCAGAGATCAGTCACAGGGAGATATCGCGGGATCACAGTCAGAGATCAGTCACAGGGAGATATCGCGGGATCACAGTCAGAGATCAGTCACAGGGAGATATCGCGGGATCACAGTCAGAGATCAGTCACAGGGAGATATCGCGGGATCACAGTCAGAGATCAGTCACAGGGAGATATCGGGGGATCACAGTCAGAGATCAGTCACAGGGAGATATCGCGGGATCACAGTCAGAGATCAGTCACAGGGAGATATCGCGGGATCACAGTCAGAGATCAGTCACAGGGAGATATCGAGGGATCACAGTCAGAGATCAGTCACAGGGAGATATCGCGGGATCACAGTCAGAGATCAGTCACAGGGAGATATCGCGGGATCACAGTCAGAGATCAGTCACAGGGAGATATCGGGGGATCACAGTCAGAGATCAGTCACAGGGAGATATCGCGGGATCACAGTCAGAGATCAGTCACAGGGAGATATCGCGGGATCACAGTCAGAGATCAGTCACAGGGAGATATCGCGGGATCACAGTCAGAGATCAGTCACAGGGAGATATCGCGGGATCACAGTCAGAGATCAGTCACAGGGAGATATCGCGGGATCACAGTCAGAGATCAGTCACAGGGAGATATCGGGGGGATCACAGTCAGAGATCAGTCACAGGGAGATATCGGGGGATCACAGTCAGAGATCAGTCACAGGGAGATATCGCGGGATCACAGTCAGAGATCAGTCACAGGGAGATATCGCGGGATCACAGTCAGAGATCAGTCACAGGGAGATATCGCGGGATCACAGTCAGAGATCAGTCACAGGGAGATATCGCGGGATCACAGTCAGAGATCAGTCACAGGGAGATATCGAGGGATCACAGTCAGAGATCAGTCACAGGGAGATATCGCGGGATCACAGTCAGAGATCAGTCACAGGGAGATATCGGGGGATCACAGTCAGAGATCAGTCACAGGGAGATATCGCGGGATCACAGTCAGAGATCAGTCACAGGGAGATATCGCACAGGGAGATCACAGTCAGAGATCAGTCACAGGGAGATATCGCGGGATCACAGTCAGAGATCAGTCACAGGGAGATATCGGGGGATCACAGTCAGAGATCAGTCACAGGGAGATATCGCGGGATCACAGTCAGAGATCAGTCACAGGGAGATATCGCGGGATCACAGTCTGGGGGTTGGGATTAGGAGTTTAGGATTCGAAGGTTCGGGTCGGGGGTGGGTTTAGGAGGTTAGGTCGGGTGTTAGGTGTTTAGGTTAGGGGGAGTCAGGAAACCCCCGCTGACGCATGACAATGACTGGTCTCTATACACAGACAGATCAATCGGTGAGATATGAGGGGATTTCTTTCCTTCTGGAGTACAGAGCCCCCCGGGGGGCGGTAAATACCTGGATAAAGGTCCCCCCCATGGATAGAGAACACCAGAATTGAGCCCCTCCAATATTTTGGTATTTTCTGTATTCCCATCACGGACCCCCCTATCTACCTGAGGCCGCCCTCCCCTGTAACTGCCGGTGACTTGGGCCAGTGTTGTGGCGGGGGTCCCCGCAGCGGCTAAGACACATATACAATGGATTCTATACAGTCACGTGGTACACACAGCGCCCAGCGGGTGTCACTGTTACACAGACAATACGCACTCCTGCCATGACGGCATCTACACGGCTACCACACACGGCGCTCACACGGCCCGCCATGACAGCTACACGGCTGACAGGCGCTCCTACACGGCTCTACCACACCACACACACAGCACTCCTGCCATGACGGCATCTACATGTCTACCACACACACAGCACTCCTGCCATGACGGCATCTACACGGCTACCACACACACAGCTTCCTGCCATGACGGCGTCTACACGGATACCACACGCAGTGCATTCACGCGTCTCATTTGGTCCAGGTCACACGCGTGAACCTTTGTAGGAGAGTCTAGAAGTACAGCGACTCTACAGCGACTCCTGCCGTCTCCGGGATGCCCACAGGGGGCCCCGCAGTGTTCCTGGTCTTATGGGGCCCTGCAGTGTTCCCGGTCACATGGGGCCCCGCAGTGTTCCCGGTCACATGGGGCCCCGCAGTGTTCCCGGTCACATGGGGCCCCGCAGTCTGTCTGGTCACATGGGGCCCCACAGTCTGTCTGGTCACATGGCGGGGCCCCTACACGTCCAGCACGTGGTTGAGGTAGGAGATGTAGCAGATGGCCAGGCGCAGGATCTCGATCTTGGAGAGTTTCTTGTCCGGGGGCAGGGTGGGCAGCAGGAGGCGGAGCTCTGAGAACGCCACGTTGAAGGCCTCCACGCGGATTCGCTCCGGGTGGCGTGGGCCGAGCGGTACTTGGCGGTGGCCCGCCTCCTGCGTCTCTTCTCCTCGCGGCTGAGCTGTGGGGGGAGGCACGGTGTCTGGCGTCCGCCGCCTTCCGCTTCCGACACGCTGCCCCCTTCGCCTCGCTGACCGCCGAATCGGATTCAGACTGCGCCGACAATTGGTCGGAATCCACGGGTTCAGGGCTGAGCATCATCCTCGCTGTGGGCGGAGTCTGGCGGGAGACAGAAAAAATACAATTCATACCATGATACCACAGGGGGGGCTCCACACTTTGGTGTCCCATCATTGGTGTCAGTGGGAGGAATGTGCCCCATCATTGGTGTCAGTGGGAGGAATAGTGCCCCATCATTGGGGTGTCAGTGGGAGGAATAGTGTCCCATCATTGGTGTCAGTGGGGGGAATAGTGTCCCATCATTGGTGTCAGTGGGAGGAATAGTGCCCCGCATCATTGGTGTCAGTGGGAGGAATAGTGCCCCATCATTGGTGTCAGTGGGAGGAATAGTGCCCCATCATTGGTGTCAGTGGGAGGAGTGCCTCATATTGGTCCGTGGGGAGGAATAGTGTCCCATCATTGGTCAGTGGGAGGAATAGTGCCCCATCATTGGTGTCAGTGGGAGGAATAGTGCCCCATCATTGGTGTCAGTGGGAGGAATAGTGCCCCATCATTGGTGTCAGTGGGAGGAATGTGCCCCATCATTGGTGTCAGTGGGAGGAATAGTGCCCCATCATTGGTGTCAGTGGAAGGAATTCAGTGCCCCATCATTGGTGTCAGTGGGTTCAGGAATAGTGCCCCATCTTGGTGTCTGGCGTGGGAGGAATAGTGCCCCATTCATTGTGTCAGTGGGGGGAACTTTGTGCCCCATCATTGGTGTCAGTGGGAGGAATAGTGCCCCATCATTGGTGTCAGTGGGAGGAATAGTGCCCCATCATTGGTGTCAGTGGGAGGAATAGTGCCCCATCATTGGTGTCAGTGGGAGGAATAGTGCCCCATCATTGGTGTCAGTGGGGGAATAGTGCCCCATCATTGGTGTCAGTGGGGGAATAGTGCCCCATCATTGGTGTCAGTGGGAGGAATAGTGCCCCATCATTGGTGTCAGTGGGAGGAATAGTGCTCCATCATTGGTGTCAGTGGGAGGAATAGTGCCCCATCATTGGTGTCAGTGGGAGGAATAGTGCCCCATCATTGGTGTCAGTGGGAGGAATAGTGCCCCATCATTGGTGTCAGTGGGAGGAATAGTGTCCCCATCATTGGTGTCAGTGGGAGGAATAGTGCCCCATCATTGGTGTCAGTGGGAGGAATAGTGCCCCCCCAGAGGACGGAAGGTGTACTCCCCCCCAGAGGCCACGAGGTGTACTGCCCCCCCCCCTGAGGCCACGAGGTGTACTCCCCCCTGAGGCCACGAGGTATACTGCCCCTTCCCCCAGAGGCCACGAGGTGTACTGCCCCCCCCCCCCCTCCGTGGCACAGGTCACATGGTAAGCAGGAGCCATATGAACATGAATGTTGCTGTTCTCGGACCTCACCTCCAGTGTCTACTCTTGCCTTGGCTAACCCAGCACAGTCCTTTAAACTGCAGGTGACCCCAGAAGATGGAGGACCATGCTGGGGACATGGGGCGGTCACTGGGGGGGGGGGTGGAGCTTGTTGGAGGGATGAGGTGGGGGGTGGGGCGAGATTTTGCGTTTTCTGGGAATTGGGATCAGCCCGGCGGGGAAATACATCAACTCTCTATGAAGGAAAGGAATGGGGGACGCTTCCCCTTCAGAAATGCCGACTGCCTGGCTGCACAAGGGACGGCTCGGGTGGGATGCTCCAGGTGGGATGGCTCAAAAGGGCAGCACAGGAGGGGTGAGTAAGGTGGGCTGGCTGAGGTTGGTCAGGAGGGGCTCAGGTGGGACGTCAGGAGGGGCAGGTCAGGTGGGGCTCAGGTGGGAGGTCAGTGGGACGTCTCAGGAGGGGTCAGGTCAGGTGGGGCAGCTCAGGAGGGGCAGGTCAGGTGGGGCAGCTCAGGTGGGACGGTCAGGGGGCAGGGGCAGGTCAGGTGGGGCAGCTCAGGAGGGGGCAGCTCAGGTGGGCAGCTCAGGTGGGGCACGTGGGACTCTCAGGAGGGGCAGCTCAGGTGGGGCAGCTCAGGAGGCAGGGCAGGTGGGACTCTCAGGAGGGGCAGGTCAGGTGGGGCAGCTCAGGTAGGAGGTTAGGTGGGGCTAGGTGGGGGCAGCTCAGGAGGGGCAGGTCAGGGTATTTATTTATTTCAGGTACAGGTATATAGCGCCATCAATGTATGGAGTGCTTTACATATCTATTGTACATTCACATCAGGCCCCCCCCTGAGGAGCGTACAATCTAAGGCCCCTAACTCACATTCATACATACACATACTGGGGACAATTTAGACCGGAGCCAATTCACCTCTCAGCATGTCTTTGGAGTGTGGGAGGAAACCGGAGTACCCGGAGGAAACCCACGCAGGCACAGGGAGAACATGCAAACTCCAGGCAGGTGGTGCCATGGTTGGGATTCGAACCAACAACCTGAGTACTGCCAGGTGGGAGTGCTAACCATTTAGCCGCTGTGCTGCCCACAGATGACTTAGGTCGGTCATCTCAGGTGGGATGGGTCAGATGGGGCAAGTGAGACGGCTCAGGTGGGATGGGCCAGGTGGGATGGTTCAGGTGGGATGGTTCAGGTGGGATGGGCCAGGTGTTGCTGCTCAGGTCGGTCATCTTAGGTGGGACGGGTCAGGTGGAGCTGGTAAGGTGGGTTGGCTGAGGTCGGTCATCGCAGGTGAGACGGCTCAGGTGGGATAGGTCAGATGGGATGGTTCAGGTGGGGCAGGTCAGGTGAGCTGCTCAGGTAGGACAGGTTAGGTGGGACGGGTCAGGTGGGGCAGGCCAGGCCAGTCATCTCAGGTGGGAGGCTCCAGGTGGAGCCTGTAAGGTGGGACGGGTCAGGTTGATCATCTCAGGTGGGATGGGTTAGGTGGAGCCGGTAAGGTGGGATGCTCCAGGTGGGATGGCGTAGGTAGGACAGGTTAGGTGGGACGTCTCAGGAGGGGAGGGTCAGGTGGAGCTGGTAAGGTAGGATAGGTCAGGTCGGTCATCTCAGGTGGGATGCTCAGGTAGGACGGGTCAGGTGGGATGCTCCAGGTGGGACAGGTCAGGTAGGACGGGTCAGGTGGGATGGCTGAGGTGGGACGTCTCAGGAGGGGAGGCTCAGGTAGGACAGGTTAGGTGGGCAGCTCAGGTAGGACAGGGTAGGTGGGCAGCTCAGGTAGGACAGGTCAGGTGGGATGCTCCAGGTGGGATGGCTGAGGTGGGACATCTCAGGAGGGGAGGCTCAGATGGGATGGTTCAGGTAGGACAGGTTAGGATGCTCCAGGTGGGGATGGTTCAGGTAGGACAGGTTAGGTGGGATGCTCCAGGTGGGACAGGTCAGGTAGGACAGGTTAGGTGGGATGCTCCAGGTGGGACAGGTCAGGTAGGACAGGTTAGGTGGGATGCTCCAGGTGGGACAGGTCAGGTAGGACAGGTCAGGTGGGATGCTCCAGGTGGGACAGGTCAGGTAGGACAGGTCAGGTGGATGCTCCAGGTGGGACAGGTCAGGTAGGACAGGTCAGGTGGGATGCTCCAGGTGGGACAGGTCAGGTAGGACAGGTCAGGTGGGATGGGTGGGACAGGTCAGGTAGGACAGGTTAGGTGGGATGCTCCAGGTGGGATGGCTGGGGTCGGTCATCTCAGGTGGGGCAAGTCCGGTGAAGCCTCGGGATCAGGATGGCAGCCAGGAAAATGTCATTTTCACAAGGAAGGGTCAGCAGAGGTAGCAGTCACATGACTTGCTGGCTGGAGAGAGAAGTCCAGGGCTGTGGTTGGGGCGGCAGGTGAGGTCAGTGAGTGTCAGCTCTGCAGCCAAGTGCAGCAAAAAGACCCCAAAGAGTGACGGAGAGAAGATTAGTGATGAGACTTCTGACTGAAACAATGGACTCTGCGATCTCTAATGACATCGAACCCCCACTGTGCTCCTGGGAGCCACAGACCATGTGATCACTGCCTAGGAATCCGAACCGAATGAGAGACAGACGACAACACTACAGGAGATGACCAGAGACTGCGGACATAGTACAGGAGATGACCAGAGACTGCGGACAGTACAGGGGATGACCAGAGACTGCGGACATAGTACAGGAGATGACCAGAGACTGCAGACATAGTACAGGAGATGACCAGAGACTGCGGACACAGTACAGGAGATGACCAGAGACTGCGGACACAGTACAGGAGATGATCAGAGACTGCGGACAGTACAGGAGATGACCAGAGACTGCGGACACAGTACAGGAGATGACCAGAGACTGCGGACAGTACAGGAGATGACCAGAGACTGCGGACAGTACAGGAGATGACCAGAGACTGCGGACATAGTACAGGAGATGACCAGAGACTGCGGACACAGTACAGGAGATGACCAGAGACTGCGGACACAGTACAGGAGATGATCAGAGACTGCGGACAGTACAGGAGATGACCAGAGACTGCGGACACAGTACAGGAGATGATCAGAGACTGCGGACACAGTACAGGAGATGACCAGAGACTGCGGACATAGTACAGGAGATGACCAGAGACTGCGGACAGTACAGGAGATGACCAGAGACTGCGGACAGTACAGGAGATGACCAGAGACTGCGGACACAGTACAGGAGATGACCAGAGACTGCGGACACAGTACAGGAGATGATCAGAGACTGCGGACAGTACAGGAGATGACCAGAGACTGCGGACACAGTACAGGAGATGATCAGAGACTGCGGACACAGTACAGGAGATGACCAGAGACTGCGGACACAGTACAGGAGATGACCAGAGACTGCGGACACAGTACAGGAGATGACCAGAGACTGCGGACACAGTACAGGAGATGACCAGAGACTGCGGACATAGTACAGGAGATGACCAGAGACTGCGGACAGTACAGGGATGACCAGAGACTGCGGACACAGTACAGGAGATGACCAGACACTGCGGACATAGTACAGGAGATGACCAGAGACTGCAGACACAGTACAGGAGATGACCAGACACTGCGGACATAGTACAGGAGATGACCAGAGACTGCGGACATAGTACAGGAGATGACCAGAGACTGCGGACACAGTACAGGAGACGGTCAGAGACTGCGGACACAGTACAGGAGATGACCAGAGACTGCGGACAGTACAGGAGATGACCAGAGACTGCGGACAGTACAGGAGATGACCAGAGACTGCGGACACAGTACAGGAGATGACCAGAGACTGCGGACAGTACAGGAGATGACCAGAGACTGCGGACACAGTACAGGGGATGACCAGAGACGACCAGAGACTGCGGACACGGTACAGGAGATGACCAGAGACTGCGGACATAGTACAGGAGATGACCAGAGACTGCGGACATAGTACAGGAGATGACCAGAGACTGCGGACAGTACAGGAGATGACCAGAGACTGCGGACACAGTACAGGAGATGACCAGAGACTGCGGACACAGTACAGGGGATGACCAGAGACTGCGGACACGGTACAGGAGATGACCGGAGACTGCGGACATAGTACAGGAGATGACCAGAGACTGCAGACAGTACAGGAGATGACCAGAGACTGCAGACACAGTACAGGAGACGGTCAGAGACTGCGGACACGCGGACATACAGGAGATGACCAGAGACTGCAGGACACAGTACAGGAGACGGTCAGAGACTGCGGACACAGTACAGGAGACGGTCAGAGACTGCGGACACGGTACAGGAGACGGTCAGAGACTGCGGACACGGTACAGGAGACGGTCAGAGACTGCGGACACGGTACAGGAGACGGTCAGAGACTGCGGACACAGTACAGGAGACGGTCAGAGACTGACTTCTCTATACAGAAGATTTCTTTCATGAATTTCAGAATCTGAAGGAACTGTCACTGTAATTTTTCTAAGAGATGAATTCCTTTGTCACCGTCGCCATCTAGTGGCCAGAATTCAGGCGGTTTTCTCGGAGACACCTCCGGAGATGACGGGACATTTTGGTGGAATATTTGGGGATGTTTTATAAGCAGACCCCCTGGAGGAGTTGCTGGAGACAGAGGTCATAGTTCAGGAGACACGTAACATGAGACTGTCAGAGATCACCCCCGCCCCTTCACCAGTCATGTGCGCCCCCTACAGACCCCTCTGACATTTCTCCCCACACCTGATCTCCCTTCCATAGGATCCATTATAGGAGGAGACGGGCCGGCAAGCACCGAAATCAGGTCACGTGATGGAAATCCAGCCAATCGTTCTCCTCCCACAATCCATCGTGGAGGACATTTTTCCTGACCTAATGACAACACAGACAACGCTCTGTAGGGGCTCTGGGGGCCACCCAGCAAGTTCCAAAGGGCCACATACAGCCCCTGTGCCACCAGTGTGTTCGGTGAAAGTCCTGCACCCCCCTCCCCTCCCCCCGCATTGCCCCTCACTCACCAGATATCCGGAGAGGACGTGGGGTCGGTCGGATGGTCTGCTGGTTGTTTTGGGATCAGTCGCGCTGTCTACCCATGATGCCACTTATATTCCGGTCCGTGGCCCTCCAGCAGGGGCCAAATGGTCATTCCCTGGTGTGGGATGGATGCTTGGTGCCCAGACGGTGGGCAGATGTTGGGAGGGCAGTTCCTGAATGGTGGGCAGATGTTGGGTGGGCAGTTCCTGAATGGTGGGCAGATGTTGGGAGGGCAGTTCCTGAATGGTGGGCAGATGTTGGGTGGGCAGTTCCTGAATGGATGGCAGCTGTTGGGTGGGTAGTTCCTGAACGGTGGTCACGGTAGTCAGATGTTGGGTGGGTAGTTCCTGAACGGTGGGCAGCTGTTGGATGGGCAGTTTTAAGATGTTGGGAGGGCAGTTCCTGAACGGTGGGCAGCTGTTGGGTGGGCAGTTCCTCAATGGTGGGCAGATGTTGGGAGGGCAGTTCCTCAATGGTGGTCAGATGTTGAGTGGGCAGTTCCTGAACGGTGGGCAGCTGTTGGGTGGGTAGTTCCTCAATGGTGGTCAGCTCTTGGACTGGCAGTGTTCAATGCTGGATGGTGATTGACTGCTGGGTGGGCAGTTCCTGAATGGTGGTCAGCTGTTGGGTTGGAAGTTCTGAACGTTGGTCAGATGTTGGGTGGGCAGTTCCTCAATGGTAGTCAGATGTTGGGTGGGCAGTTTCCTCAATGGTTGTCAGATGTTGGGTGGGCAGTTCCTCAATGGTGGTCAGATGTTGAGTGGGCAGTTTCCTCAATGGTGGTCAGATGTTGGGTGGGCAGTTCCTGAATGTTGGTCAGATGTTGGGTGGGCAGTTCCTCAATGGTGGTCAGATGTTGGGTGGGCAGTGCTCCTGAATGGTGCCTGGTCAGATGTAGGTGGGCAGTGCCTGAATGGTGCCTGGGTCCTTGCGTGGGCAGTGCCTGAATGGTGCCTGGGTCCTAGGTGGGTAGTGCGTTAGTGCCCAGATAGCGATCAACTGTTGAATATCCAATACCCAATTGGTGGTCAGCTGTTGAGAGCCTTGTTCAGGGTGAGATGGTGGTCACCTGTTGGGTGGGCAGTGTTCAGTGCTGTATGGTGGTCACCTGTTGGGTGGGCAGTGTTCAGTGCTGGATGGTGGTCACCTGTTGGGTGGGCAGTGTTCATGCTGGATGGTGGTCACCTGTTGGGTGGGCAGTATTCTGTACCTGATGGTGGTCACCTGTTGGGTGGGCAGTGTTCTGTACCTGATGGTGGCCTGCTTTTGGGTGGGCAGCATTCAGTGCTGGATGGTGGTCGCTTGTTCGGCGGGCAGCGTTCAGATGGATGTCAGCTGCTTGGTGGGCAGCGTTCAGTGCCCAGATGGTGGTCTCCTGTTGGGTAGGCAGCGTTCAGATGGTGGTGTCCTGTTGGGTGGGCAGCGTTCAGATGGTGGTGTCCTGTTGGGCGGGCAGCGTTCAGTGCCCAGATGGTGGTCTCCTGTTGGGTGGGGGCAGCGTTCAGATGGTGGTGGGCTCCTGTTGGGTGGGCAGCTTTCAGTGCCCAGATGGTGGTCTCCTGTTGGGTGGGCAGCGTTCAGTGCCCAGATGGTGGTCTCCTGTTGGGCGGGGCAGCGTTCAGTGCCCAGATGGTTGTCTCCTGTTGGGCGGGCAGCTTTCAGTGCCCAGATTGTGGTCTCCTGTTGGGCGGGCAGCGTTCAGTGCCAGATGGTGGTCTCCTGTTGGGCAGGGCAGCGTTCAGATGGTGCCCAGATGGTGGTCTCCTGGTTTGGTTGTTGGGGGCAGCGTTCAGTGCCCAGATGGTTGTCTCCTGTTGGGCGGGCAGCTTTCAGTGCCCAGATTGTGGTCTCCTGTTGGGCGGGCAGCGTTCAGTGCCCAGATGGTGGTCTCCTGTTGGGCGGGCAGCTTTCAGTGCCCAGATGGTGGTGTCCTGTTGGGTGGGCGGCATTCAGTGCCCAGATTGTGGTCTCCTGTTGGGTGGGCAGCGTTCAGTGCCCAGATGGTGGTCTCCTGTTGGGTGGGCAGCGTTCAGATGGTGGTGTCCTGTTGGGCGGGCAGCGTTCAGTGCCCAGATGGTGGTTGGTTGTTGGGTGGGCAGCGTTCAGTGCCCAGATGGTGGTTGGTTGTTGGGTGGGCAGCGTTCAGTGCCCAGATGGTGGTTGGTTGTTGGGTGGTCTCCTGTTGGGGCAGCGTTCAGTGCCCAGATGGTGGTTGGTTCCTGTTGGGTGGGCAGCGTTCAGTGCTCAGATGGTGGTGTCCTGTTGGGCGGGCAGTGTTCAGTGCCCAGATGGTGGTTGGTTGTTGGGTGGGCAGTGTTCAGTGCTCAGATGGTGGTTGGTTGTTGGGTGGGCAGCGTTCAGTGCCCAGATGGTGGTTGGTTGTTGGGTGGGCAGTGTTCAGTGCTCAGATGGTGGTTGGTTGTTGGGTGGGCAGCGTTCAGTGCCCAGATGGTGGTGGTCCTGTTGGGTGGGCAGTGTTCAGTGCCCAGATGGTGGTTGGTTGTTGGGTGGGCAGTGTTCAGTGCTCAGATGGTGGTTGGTTGTTGTGTGGGCAGCGTTCAGATGGTGGTGTCCTGTTGGGCGGGCAGCGTTCAGTGCCCAGATGGTGGTTGGTTGTTGGGTGGGCAGCGTTCAGTGCCCAGATGGTGGTTGGTTGTTGGGTGGGCAGCGTTCAGTGCCCAGATGGTGGTTTGGGGTTGTTGGATGGTGTGGGGTAGGCAGTGTTCAGTGCCCAGATGGTGGTTGGTTGTTGGGTGGGCAGCGTTCAGTGCCCAGATGGTGGTTGGTTGTTGGGTGGGCAGCGTTCAGTTCCAGGTGGACGGTTGGTGGTGGAGCAGTGAGCAGGGACGGGCATGTCACCTGTGTTTCGGAGAATTCTGGGAGGGCTGGCGTGGGGCTGTGGTACCCAGAGGAGCGATGGCATGGAGATAGACCTTCAGAGCTGAGAGACGGAGGAGGGGGAGGGAGGACGAGTCGTGGTCCCCGGGGTCCTCAGACCTCAGATGTTCAGGGATGAGATGGAAGGAGGGCGGCGGCTTAATGCCCCTCTAATGGGAACATTCTATTGGCCGGCGCTGGGATCCTAACCGCTTCTGACATCTGTCACTTCTCCTGCCGGCGAGGACTGTGATGTCTCCAGAAGTGTCCCCGGTGAGGATCAATATGACCCCCCCCGTCCCTCACCACAGCTGAGACCAGCCCCCCCCCCACTAATATCTAGGGACCGCTCGCCACGTCCACAACGAAGGTCTCACCGCGACCCCGGACTGCGTGTCACAGCTGCGCCCCTCCATCTCCTACGCAGGAACCAGACATCTCCACCGCCTTCCCCGGCACTCGCTGGCGGCCATGTTGGCTGGTCCTGCGAGACGATGAGAAATCAGCGCGGGGGGTCAGATACGTGATAATTGTCAGCTCTTCTGCCGCCGGTCAGGGGATGAAAACGAAACACACCCCTGGAGTGACAATGACAGTCTATGGGGGGGCCAGCGTGGCCCCGGGGTGAGGGGCCCACCGCGCATTCAGTTCTTATGTATTCACATAGTTGTTGTCACCTGTGACACCCAATTCCTGAGGCTGTGACATCATCGGCCAATTCCTGAGGCTGTGACATCATCGGCCAATTCCTGAGGCTGTGACATCATCGGCCAATTCCTGAGGCTGTGACATCATCGGCCCAATTCCTGAGGCTGTGACATCATCGGCCAATTCCTGAAGCTGTGACATCGTCGGCCAATTCCTGAAGCTGTGACATCATCACCCCATATCCCAAACAGGTGTATGATGTCATAGAAGATGAGTGTTTGTGTCATTCAGACTCCTTGTATACAAGTCCCTGTATATAGCCCCCTCCTGTGTATATACTGAGCCCCGAGGCTGTGTAACCATGGCAACTACATATCACTGCTGTCCGAGAATGGAGCGTCAAAGAACATTGTTTATAAACATCGATCAGACGGGAGACGGAGATACAAAGTAACATTGTTTATAAACATCGATCAGATGGGAGATGGAGAGATACAAAGTAACATTGTTTATAAACATCGATCAGACGGGGGATGGAGAGATACAAAGTAACATTGTTTATAAACATCGATCAGACGGGGGATAGAGATACAAAGTAACATTGTTTATAAACATCGATCAGACGAGAGATAGAGATACAAAGTAACATTGTTTATAAACATCGATCAGACGGGAGATAGAGATACAAAGTAACATTGTTTATAAACATCGATCAGACGGGGATAGAGAGATACAAAGTAACATTGTTTATAAACATCGATCAGACGGGAGATAGAGAGATACAAAGTAACATTGTTTATAAACATCGATCAGACGGGAGATAGAGATACAAAGTAACATTGTT